GCACTAACCTGCAAGCTCTGGGGTTAAAGACTTCTCCTTTCTCGTGCTCGATGTGCTTTGAAATGTATCAGAAAAGAATCCCACAACACCACCCCAAGCACCAGTGAGACCTGAAGGCGTCTCTGAGTTAAAACCCAACGGATCAAAAACAGATCCATCAACTTGCTAACCTTAACCTGTAGAAAAAAAAATTCTCAGAGCAAAAATGCCGCATAAAAATCAAAAAAAAAAATTTCTTCTAGTGACTCAATGATATTATGGAACAAGATCTTTTTGAGAATACTTGGGATATTTCTAATTAGGGGTTGTTTGGTTCGTTTCTTAGGGAAATATATTTCCATGTACAAAAACACAAGTTTTGAGTTTTCCAAACTTTTTCAAGAAGTAGATTGATTTGCTTTGGTTCGTACAAAAAATATGGTGGGAAATCAATATATTTATTTTTCTTGTGTTTGGTTCGCATGGAAAAAAAGAGAAAACTTTTGTTGATATGGCATTTCCTACTTTTTTTGTTTGGTTGGTTTTGAAATTTGTAGTGAAAAATGTTTATGGTCACCATGGTAAGATTACCCCCACTATATACAAATTTATTTGTGCTCGTTATATGATGTAATCTTAATCATATAAAAGTTCGAATGTAAAATGAACAAATAATAATATCCCAAATGAATTATAAATTTCTGTTTGTATTAATGAAATCATACGAAACCTGAAATAATATGAATCACATGCTATGAATTACGTACTTAATTGATTTGACTTAAAATATACATGTTTCAGATTGAAAAAATCACACGAAACCTGTACTAACATGATTATTCATAAATTTATGTAGTTAAGTTGCATGAATTATCCAAAAAATCTGCTGAAACCTATAAAACATATAAACAACCTAAATAGCCATAAATATGTATATAACATAGCAAATAGCCATAAATATGTATATAACAACCTGAAACCTATAAAAACTTTTAATATTATGAGCTGTTACAATCCTTTATACGAGATTTTATCTGCATACAAAGTTTCTAAATTAGCTATGAGCACCTATACAAGACCGATATAACTTTTGCAAGTAGTATTCTTAAAGGTATCTCTAGACCTTCATGCAATTTGAGCTTTGCCATGATCTTCACCACTCGACTAGGTAGCATGACCATGGTGTGATGTACTCTCCCCTCTCTCTCTTGGAGCATCTGACGCATAAAATAGATGATAACACAGAGATCAATAATATTATGAAAGAGAACTAGGATCATAAAGACGTCTAATTTGTCTAATTTGTTGGTAGTTTAGAAGCATGAATAGTAAGCATGAATTTTCAATTTTTTCTCCATACCAAGTGGCTATATTGGAGCCTAAAGGCATTGTTTCAGATGAACAAATTTTTTGAGCAAAGCATGACAGAACCAGAAAAAGAAATACACATGAAACAATAATGCTAATTACCATATGATTAAAGTAAAAAAAATAAACGTGAAACAAGAATTTTAATTAACATATGATTGAAGTAAAATGTAATATATAGAAAAAAAATTTACCTACAAGACAACGGCCATAAAGGACAAAGCCTACAACTACTACAGAGCATGGTAGACCAGTAATAACATGACAGACAAAGCCAACATCATGTCAAATAAATCAGTCATATGTATATGCGAATTATGGCTGTGGGTTCAGAACTTGTTCAATATCATCATTGTTAGTCATCCAGTGCAATATCAACAGATATTGCAGGTTGCTAATCTTAAAAAAATTGAAAAGCATCATAGCCTAATTTGAACACCCGTAAACAATATCAAAATAATCAAATCCAACTGAACACAACCTAGCTCATAACATAACAAGATTGTGCCTGAAAATCACATGTGCTGTTAAAAGGTACACAAATAGTAAGGATATAACAGAACAAACATGATTGTGAATGCAGATATATGTGCTTGAACACAAACAACCCAGAATAAGTGCCTGCACACAAATCTCACGAACCAGCCAACAACACCACCAGGTAACAACAACATCAAGTACCCACTAGGCAACAACACCACCTGCCAACAACAACATCAAGTACCCACTAAGCAACAACACCACCTGCCAACAACAACATCAAGTACCAGGTAACAACACCACGAGCCAACAACAACATTAAGTATCAACCAGGCAACAACACCACCAGCCAACAATAACATCAAGTACCAACCAACCAACAACATCAAGAAACAAGTAAGCTCACAACCAGCCAACAACACCAACAGCCAAACAATATTTAAAGGCAACATTTTCCAAAAAACCGAGCACAAAATATACAGAAAAAAAGCATATGCACACTAAACTGAACACAAACAGAAGATATTCTCACAAAATTAACCAACCAAAAATAGCATATGGTACAAAAGATGCGGTGATTGATGAAAAATTATATTTTACTATATATAGAGAATTTTAAATTAAAGGTTAAGATATTTTTATAATATTGTAATTATTAGATGGATGATTTAGATGAGATAACATATGTCAAAAAATTTTGAGAAGGAGGAAACTGATGTGGCATCCTCGGGTGAGTTTTAAAGCTATTTAGTTTTATTTTAATATATACCCTAGTAAAAAAAAATGGATCCACTACTCATGTGAAAATACTGTCGGAGATCGATATCGAGGATGGAACTAGAACCCATATGATTTGCTTATATTTGGGTAATCCTATTTAGCTTTGTATTTTTCTCGTATAAGAATAAGATAAGACAATATGAATCACTTTCGTTCACATGAATTAATCACGGTCGTCAATACAAAATATCAAGTCACCGCATTTATAATACTCATGCGAAAATATTGTTGGAGAATGATATCGAGGATGAAACCAGGACGCATTTGATTCGTTTATGTTTGAGTATCCGAAACATTCTATCTATGTTAAAAACGCAGGCGTCAGATACCACACTTGCCATGCCAGCGTTTTTACAAGAATGTTTCGGATACCCAAACAATATGCCGCGTGCTCAAACATCCTCCGTAGAATATGCCGCGTGCTCAAACATTTATAATACTCATGTGTATCATTTGTTTGAGCATCCGAAACATTTATAAAACCCATAATCTATCTATGTTTTTACAGAACTTAGAAAACTGGCGTTTTAAAACAAATGATACACATGAGTTTAATATAAAAAGATCGACGAATTCATAAAAAAACAAATTTTCAAAACAGCCTCAAACCAGTTTTTAATTTTCAAAACCGACCTATTTTTTTTTTTACCAAAATCGACTCACTTTTTGTCACGTCAGCTTAATCCCATTCCTAAACAGTCGGGGTTGGCAACCCCGACTAATTAGGAAATGAGATTAAGCTGACGTGACAAAAAATGGGTCAATTTTGGTAAAAAAAAAAGTGAGTCGGTTTTAAAAATTAAAAGCTGGTCTGAGGCTGTTTTGAAAATTTGTTCATTCATAAAAAGCTAACAAATTCCAATAGAACATAGAAAAGTTCATAAAAAGATGATCATGCGTGTTTTGCGATCGTCTGCGCTCCCTCATCAACTACTTCCTCCCCTCGTTCCTCTATCATCAAAAAACTAATCATTTGGACTAGATTTTAATTTGCATTACTTGATAGGCCCACTCGAGTAACTTTTCAGAAATGACACATCAATATATATTTGGATATCCCAACTATCATATAATGCATTTATGTAATTCATTGCACATTTGAGCAGAATACCGCTCAAAAACATCACAAATAGAAGGTGAAAAGGTTGTAAAACCTAAAATCTAACATTTTATGCACGTGTTTAATTTGTCTCATCTTTCTTTCTTTTTTTTCTTTTGACGTTACATCTAACATCTAGGGGCTATTTGGTTGCCCGCATTGCGACTGAGGATGTTGCAGCTATTGTTGCTTGCTATTGGAGTTACAGCGGTTTGGTACAACTCTAAAGTTTGCAAGTTACACATATAATTATAGTTGCAAATATTTGTTTACACTTGCAACTTGTATGTCTATGTAACACACACACGCCCTCACACAACAAAAAAGTGAAAACTGGTTGCAAATGAGATAAATAATCAAAAACAGTTTCTAGAACTTGCACTTTAGTAAACCCGAGTTACGTGAATAAAAGAATTTCCCTCTGAAATTCTGCGCGCGACACTCACATGCTATTTTTAAAATATTTTAACCCTTATTTGTTTAAATATATTCTTTGACCTATCAAAATCCATTTTTTTTAAATCGATTGTGTTTTACGCTTTGTTTTGCCAAATAAAACTGTAAAACACAACGCACTAGTAATACATAATAGATTTTCTTTTAAATAAAGATGCTCTAAACTGTCAGTGACAATCCATAAATGTTGTTTTTCTCAATTATCCACACTGGAACTGGATAATTGAGACATTCATCTAGTAATACAACATCACTAAATTTGAAAACCATGAACTGGGGTACAATTATTGAGATATGCGTAACATCATCTTTCACAAAATTTTATTTTTAATCGAGTTAGATGTCCAATATCATCGTGAATCAGCATTTGCACTTTAGACAATTGGAGCGTGCCATAATCTACATGTTCAAACTCGGCCAATAAATTTATAAATACTACAGCCGACTTCTAATTAACCTGTTCAAAATAGAGAAATCACAAAAAAAAACATTATAACTGCATAAATAACTAATTCTAAACGAAATATTTTGAATGCGAAGGTATTACCTCTTTCTCACGGCACATGAGCTTCCTATAAACTCGATCAAAAACAACTAAGACATAAAGTTAAGCAATTTTACTATTAAGAATTGAGAAGAGAAGAACACAATTAATATATGCTAAAAGTTTGAAGAACAGATGTGTAACCTATCAAAACTGAAACTTCATTGACAAAACAAATTAAATGTTGCATGTCAGCACTATTTTATAAACCTCTGGGTTTCTATGTCACAAATGCCACAAAAATACCAAAATGCATTTTGACATTTGACCACCACCATACGAGAAAATGTATAATAAGCACATACAATAACACAGATCTTTGGTATTATGATCTTCATCCATACTTCTCGAATAAGGTCTCACTTACATGTTTTGCTTTTATCCCTTTGCAAACAGTTGGCTACCAATTGTATTTATGGAGTTAAAAATTCTTTCTAAAGCTGAGATAAAACCTGGATAATATACATCAATATGTACATTTAAGTGCAAGAGACAATGCAAGACCAGCAATCCCGAGAACTGTAAGCACTTTGATGGCACTTACTTTGTGCCCTTCTAGGACTCTCCATGTCCATTGACCAAGAAACCGTAGACGACTGGTTACTTGATACACTTTCAAGGAAAAATCCTGCACAAAACAATGCAGTTTTTAGATCTAGATCATCTCGAAAGACGAAAATCTGTGATAATTACATATTTTGCATATCTGAACAATCTCAGGAATCTCTTCTTGTAAGAATGAAAAAAAATTATTCAAAATTCAGCATTCCGTACTTCAAACATGTAAATTACTGATTAAGCCAAAAATGGGAAACAGTTTAGGATATTTTTATGGGTCAATGCTACTATATAGTTTCTATACCTCAGGAATAATGGACAAATATCAAGTTTACATCCTATCTTTCTCTAGTTAGCGGTTTATTTTATAATACTTGACTTTTATCCCCATAACAAATGGTAGCATGCCAAATTTACTAGTGACTATTTATGAAGTAAGAATCTTGGTATACATGAAACTTTGGATAGAACTTGTCAATGTTTCAGCTTAACTACAAGGGACATAGCTAACTCTGAAATTTTAAGAACTACATGCACTTTAATAGTTTAATAGAACTTACTTTGCGCTCCATCAGAAATATCCATATCCATTGAGAAAGAAAACGCAAATGATGACAGGATGCTTGAAACTTTTTCATGGAAAAATCCTACACAACAAATGCAGCTGTAAGATTAACACTAGAAAGGCATGAATACTAGTTGCATTTATCACACATGCTGCATATCAAAACAATCTCAAGGACTATCTATAATGAGGACGTAGAG